GGTCGGTTATCACCAATTTCCATAGGGTTCGTCCTTGGGCCCAACAAATGATTTGTACAAAATTAAAATAAATGCGATCTGTACTTTTTTGTAAAACATGCACAAATCGACTCATAACGATTCCATGCAGATCATCAAAGGAACAATGGATCTATTCCCCTTCCTATTCTATTTTCCTTGAAAAATATTGTTCAAAATCCACGAATATTTCAGCGAATGATTCCTTGAAAAATATCTTTTAAAAATCAACGAATATTTCCGCGAATGGTTCCTTGAAAAATATTTTTTTAAAAATCCACGAAATTTCCGCGAATGGTTCCTTGAAAAATATTCATTAAAAATCCAAGAATATTTCCGCGAATGGTTCCTTGAAAAAATATTATTTAAAAATCCAAGAATATTTCCGCGAATGATTCCTTGAAAAAATATTCATTAAAAATCCAAGAATATTTCCGCGAATGATTCCTTGAAAAAAATATTATTTAAAAATCCGCGAATTGTTCTTTGAAAAATATTTAAAAATCCACTAATATATCCATGAACAATACTTATATATATACATACACACTTTTAAATTCCTCGAAAACTATTCTTTAAAAATCCACGAATATATCCTTGAAAAATACACTTTTAAATTCCTCGAAAACTTTTCTTTAAAAATCCACGAATATATCCTTGAAAAATACACTTTTAAATTCCTCTAAAAATATTCTTTAAAAATCCACAAATATTTCCTCGAAAAATATTCTTTAAAAATCCAAGAATATTTCCTTGAAAAATATTCTTTAAAAATCCACGAATATATCCTTGAAAAATACACTTTTAAATTCCTCGAAAAATATTCTTTAAAAATCCAAGAATATTTCCTTGAAAAATATTCTTTAAAAATCCACGAATATATCCTTGAAAAATACACTTTTAAATTCCTCGAAAAATATTCTTTAAAAATCCACGAATATTTCCTTGAAAAAAATTCTTTAAAAATCCACGAATATTTCCTTGAAAAAAATTCTTTAAAAATCCACGAATATTTCCTGGAAAAAAATTCTTTAAAAATCCACGAATATTTCCTTGAAAAAAAAATTCTTTAAAAATCCAAGAATATTTCCTTGAAAAATATTCTTTAAAAATCCACGAATATTTCCTTGAAAAAAATTCTTTAAAAATCCACGAATATTTCCTGGAAAAAAATTCTTTAAAAATCCACGAATATTTCCTTGAAAAAAATTCTTTAAAAATCCAAGAATATTTCCTTGAAAAATATTCTTTAAAAATCCACGAATATTCCTTGAAAAATATTCTTTAAAAATCCACGAATATTCCTTGAAAAATATTCTTTAAAAATCCACGAATATTCCTTGAAAAATATTCTTTAAAAATCCACGAATATTCCTTGAAAAATATTCTTTAAAAATCCACGAATATTCCTTGAAAAATATTCTTTAAAAATCCACGAATATTCCTTGAAAAATATTCTTTAAAAATCCACGAATATTCCTTGAAAAATATTCTTTAAAAATCCACGAATATTCCTTGAAAAATATTCTTTAAAAATCCACGAATATTCCTTGAAAAATATTCTTTAAAAATCCACGAATATTCCTTGAAAAATATTCTTTAAAAATCCACGAATATTCCTTGAAAAATATTCTTTAAAAATCCACGAATATTCCTTGAAAAATATTCTTTAAAAATCCACGAATATTCCTTGAAAAATATTCTTTAAAAATCCACGAATATTCCTTGAAAAATATTCTTTAAAAATCCACGAATATTCCTTGAAAAATATTCTTTAAAAATCCACGAATATATCCTTGAAAAATACACTTTTAAATTTCTCGAAAAATATTCTTTAAAAATCCACAAACATTTCCTTGAAAAAAATCTTTAAAAATCCACGAATATTCCTTGAAAAATATTCTTTAAAAATCCACGAATATTCCTTGAAAAATATTCTTTAAAAATCCACAAATATTTCCTTTAAAAAAAATCTTTAAAAATCCACGAATATTCCTTGAAAAAATTCTTTAAAAATCCACGAATATTCCTTGAAAAATATTCTTTAAAAATCCAATAATATTACCAAGAATGGTTCCTTGAAAAATGTTATTTAAAAATCCACGAATGAAAAATATGATCAAAAACCACGTCGCAGTTACCGAAAAATGGCTCGTGAGCTGAACATGTCGCAATATTCCATTCGCAGATATTGAAAAATGAGATCGGGGTATAGCCACTGAAATTCCAAAAAGAGCAAGAACTTACACTGCAACAGAAAGAAAATAGACTCAAAAGAGCTAAAAAGTAACTTAGCTTGGCCGAATTTGGTTTTCTCCGATGAGGAAACATTCGTTGTCCAGCAGTTTGTAAACAAACAAAATAACCGTGTTTACTTGCCAAAGAGGTCAGCTGAAAAAGTGCACCTTCGCTTGGCCATCACAACTCAAGCGCCAGCCATGGTGATGGTGTAGGCCGCGATAAAAGCCGATGGTCGCTCTCCCCTCGTATTAATCGACTGTGGCATCAGAATAAATGCCGAATATTATCGAGAAAATATTCTGGAGGTGGATTAAAGCCTTGGACTTTCCAACAGGACTCAGCACCATCGCACTCAGCACGCGCCAATCAAGAATGGTTAAAATATGAGGTTCCTCGCTTTATTTCCAACGCACATTGTCCACTAAAATCTCCGGATACCAATCCGTTGGACTATTGTGTCTGAAGTATTTTGGATTGGATTATAGTTCAAAAAATTCATAACAAATATTTTTGAAAAAATATCGATCTCACCACTAATAACCTCTCATTTTTTTTTAAATTTAACTTCAATTTAATTTAATTTTAAAAGTTAAAAAACACGATTTTACCACTGATGGCCTCTCAAAGACTTTCTTAAAAAGTTAAACTTGTGTTGTTCCTTAAAAAAACCATAGGCCAAAAATCTGCCATTTAAGACCTGAGGTCTCAGAAAAATATTTTTAAAAGTCTCAATAATCTAACATTAATGGTCCTTTAAAAATGCTGTTCAATTGTAGTCCAGATGTGTTCTTAACAAATTCTATAAAAATCCGTTATTATGGATCTAATGGTATTTAGAACAAGTAAAAAAACATTAAGTTCGGCCGGGCAAAACTTTTAATACCCTCCACCTTAGGGCAAAGAAAACATTAGAAGAAATGTGGCAAAAACCATTAAAATTGCGAATATCGGGAGGTACCGTTTTATGGGGCTATACCAAAACCTGGACCTATAATTACAATGACTCGCCACACGAACTGGGACCCATTATGATCTACAACTACCAATTTTCAGAGAAATTCTTGAAAAAATGTGTCAAAAATCATCAAAATACCGAATATTGGGAGGTACCGTTATATGGAGACTATATCAAAACGTGGACCTATACATACAATGTTTCGCCACACGAACTAGGACCCATTATGACCCACGAATACCCATTTTTAGACAAATCATTGAAAAAATGTGGCAAAAACCATCAAAATACCGAATATCGGGAGGTACCGTTATATGGGGGCTATACCAAATCATGAACCCATACATGCAATGTTTCGCCACCGGAGCTGGAACCCATCATGACCTACATTTCTGTAGGTCAATTTTCTGACAAATCCGTGAAAAAATGTGGCATAAATCATTAAAATACCGAATATCGGGAGGTACCTTTATATGGGGGCTATACCAAAACGTGGACCTATACATGCAATGTTTTGCCACACGTACAGGGACCCGTTATAACTTACAAATACCAATTTTCAGACAAATCCGTGAAAAAATGTGGCATAAATCATCAAAATACCGAATATTGGGAGGTACCGTTATATGGGGACTATACCAGAACGTGGACCGATATATCTCATTTTCAATACCAACCATCCTATACACAATACAAATTGCTCTGCTAAATTTTGACGCTCTACGTCAAATAATGTGGGCTGTATCGTGATTTCAAAATACTGACAGACAGACGGACATCGTTAAATCGACTTAGAATTTTATGCTGATTATGAATATATACACTTTATGGGGTCTACGACGAATATTTAAGGATGTTACAAACGGAATGACAAAGTTAATATACCCTCCTTTCCAAGGTGGAGGGTATAAAAAGACATAGGCAAAAAAGACATTCCCAAAAATCTGCCATTTAAGACCTGAGGTCTCAGAAAAATATTTTTAATAGGTCCAATAATGTAACATTAATGGTCCTTTAAAAATGCTGTTCAATTGTAGTCCAACTGTGTTCTTAACAAATTCTATAAAAATCCGTGATTATGGTTCTGATGGTGTTTAGAAAAAAAATCGTGTAGCCCCGATGATCCTTTCAAAAATACTCTTACAAAATCACAAGGTCCTTAAGAAGTCTTCAAAAAATATTTTTCAAAAATCAATTAAATTTCGGCTTCAAAAAATTAATTTTTCAATAAATATTGCAAGTATCAAACCTACTGATGAATCGAATAGACCAATCTCTTCCAATAGAGAGGCAAAAAAATGCGAGCAATAGTCTCGACTCTATCTAGTAGAAGAAATACAACATGGCATTAAAAATGTGTATATGGGCATATATTAAAATTAAATATAAAAAAAAAAAATAAAAAACAATAACAGAAAGTAGCGACGTAAACACAAGAGATGAAGAAGAGGCACAGACAACGACGACAAAAACAAAAATCATAAAAAAAACACTTCAAAACCAAACGAATGTGGCTGGTGTTCTGTTTACTTCGATGAATTCGTATTTTCATATCAGTTCCCTGTGATCAGATGCCGGGAAAGGAACTATTTTCACAAACGGTTGGCGGCGATATAGTAAAGCGAACGTACTCTCTCATTCTCTGCTCTTGAAAAATAATAAATCTGAAAAAAAAAAATTAAAGACAAAATAAAACAGAACAAAGTGTGCTTCATACAAAAAAATTGAAAATAATAAAAAAAGTCTAAACAAAGAAAATTAACAATAAATTAATGAATTCATTTTCAGATTTTTAATTTTTTTTTTTAAATTGCCATTGAACGTAAACCATCAACAAATTCAGTGAAATGAAAAATTAAATCAGCGCAATCATAACCAGTGGAAAATGCAAAAAAACAAGACAAGAAAAATGGGATTCCAATAAGAAAAGCAAAATTGAAAAAAGTGAACGCAAAAAAAAAACGGAAAATAAATAGAATGTTTTTAAAACTATGCTGTAAAATGTTGAAAATTAAACATCGTTATCTAGTGTCCTAGACTCTCGCTATTCTTGGATAATAAAGAATTTTGTTTCACTAACAAAACTTGAAAAAAATCCATCGATGTCTGGCATTGAATATAAAAGACGACCTGTAACGCAATTTCAAGAAAATAAAACAAAATATTTAGAAAAATTAACCAAAAGACGGAATCTCCTCGACCCAATCAGTTCACAGCAAGTGTCGTCTTCCAGTGATATCTTTCCACCACCTCTTCAAGGCCAAAGAGTGCTAAAAGCCCAATACCATAACTCAAGGATCTCAACTGAATTTCCAAGTGCACTTAGCTAACATTTTCTAAATACACATACACATACACATCATCATCACCCTTTCCCACCGTGTCCATTGAGCAGAGCATTCACACAATGGCCAACAACAATTTGCAACAATTTCGCCTACCTCCTCCACCCCAAGAAATGGCGGCCCTCTACAACAATTTACCTCAACATTTTGAAAATCTTTTCTTGAACGGCAATTTTGCTGACGATGACGAGCGTGAAAATAACAACAACCGCAACATTTCCTGTTGGGTATTCGGTTACGGTTCACTGTGCTGGTATCCCGGTTTTGAATATGACAAATGTATTACCGGTTATATAAGAGGCTATAATCGACGTTTTTGGCAGGGCAATACAACGCATCGCGGTACAGCGGATAAGGTAAGTGTTGTTTGCGTTTTGTATAGATCAAATTAAAAAAATATATATCTTCTTAATCTTAAGTATGCCGAATGTGAATGTGTTTTTCAATGGACAAATCCTGGAAGGGGATTTATTTATTTAGATTTATTTATTTTTTCCGTTGCATTTTTTGTTTGATAAATAAATCCTGTTTCAGGACATATTGGAAAATCGTGTGAAATAAATCAAACCAACAACTAGTGTCATTAAATGCGTATTACGGCTTTGGAACGGTTAAAATTTTAAATCGTATATAACTAAAATATGGCAGCAATATCTGCGTCGGAATCGACGATTTTCGGACATATTTTTTGCGCTGTATAACAGGGTGAGATAAAAAAACTCCAACAAAGTCAAACGCCATAATTTTTACATTTTATACCCTCCACCATACTATGGAGGGTATATTAACTTTGTCATTCCGTTTGTAACTCCTCGAAATACTCATATCAGACCCAACAAAGTATATATATTCTTGATCAGCGTAAAATTCTAAGTCGATTTAGCGATGTCCGTCTGTCTGTCTGTCCGTCTGTCTGTTGTAATCACGCTATCTTTCGAATGAATTGAGATAGATGGCTAAAATTTTGCACATATGTTTATTTTTCCAGTAGGAAGGTTAAGTTCGTAAATTGGCCATGTAGGTCCACGTTTTCATATTGCCCTCATATAACGGTACCTCCCTATATTCGGTATTTTGATGATTTTAGCGACATTATTCACGGGAATTGTTTCAAACATGGTATTTGAAGTTCAAAATGGATACTACACCCTAAGACGGAAAATTGTCTGTGCAGGTCCACGTCTTCGTATAGGCCCCATATAACGGTACCTCCCGATATTCGGTATTTTGATGATTTTAGCGACATTATTCACCGGAATTGTTTCAAAATTGGTATTTGAAGTTCGTTATGGGAACTACAGTCTGTGACAGAAAATTGTCTGTGCGGGTCCAGGTCTTCGTATAGGCCTCATATATCAGTACCTCCCTATATTCGGTATTTTGACGATTTTAGGTACAATACCCACCGAAATTGTTTGAGATGTGGTATTTGAAGTTCGTAATGGATGCTACAGCCTGTGACAGAAAATTGTCTATGCTGGTCCAGGTCTTCGCACAGCTCCAATTTAACGGCACCCCCTTATATACGATATTTTAATGATTTTAGCTACTTTATTCACCGTTTATTTCAAGTTTCGAATTTGAATATGGTAATGGCTTATGACAAACAATGCCTATGTATGACCACGTCGTATAGACCCCAATATAACGGCTATATTCGGTATTTTTAAAATTTTAACAGAATTTTTTAAGGATTTTATTTTTTAAAAATTTCCAAATTCGTTGCAAATGGTGGAGGGTATTAAAAGTTCGGCCCTGCCGAACTTACTGCTTTTTAACTTGTTTTTTTTTTAATTTTATTGAATGAAAGCATAAAATGTCGGAAATGGCATCAAATTTTAGAATTTGTTTAGATTTGTTCGAATTGGTCACATTTAGCACTAATTATGGCCTTTAAACAGCCAATGAAACCGTCACACACTTCCCGAATGTTGCTCTGCGGTATTTTGGCCCATCGCCGGCGAAGCGCTTGCTATAGGTGATCGACACTTCGGTATTTAGTTAGTACCAACCTTGCTTTCCAAAATACTCCAGACACAATAGTCCAACGGATTAATATCCGGAGATTTTGGTGGCCATTGTGCGCTGGAAATGAAGCGAGGAACCTCATTTTGTAACCATTCTTGGGTGGCACGTACTGAGTGCGATGGTGCTGAGTCCTGTTGGAATGTCCGAGGTATGCGGCGAAAATGTTTGCCCAAGGCTTTAATACACCCTCCAGAATATTTTCGCTATAATATTCGGCATTTATTCTGATGCGGTTTTAGACCTTAGGTTTTTTTGAATCAAATCCGTTTCAGGTCCTTTGGAGTTAATCTAGGGGTATCCGTATGTCCGGCTGGTGAGCACGATAACTCTCGAACGGAGTATCCGATTTAGTACATCGTCATATTATTGTCAAACTGCGATCGAGTTCGGAGATGGGCATCATCTGCTTACTCTTTCTGGTACCTCCCCCGATGAGTACATTCTTTTCAAACTTAGTATATCCAAGTGTGTAGATGGGATACATCGGTCCACTCCTTATGGTATCTCCCCCACAAGGCACCGAATTCTTAATAATTATAACACTCAACCAACCAGAAATCCAGAGATTCTGAAAAATTATAGCCCTTATTCATGCGAAAAAAGTAAGGGAGCTTTCAAACATCGTGAGTACATCAAAGTAGGGGAAAAAATATAAATCTGAACCGGTTTCGACAAAATTTTGCAAATCTTGTTATCATCTTTTCATAGAAAACCTTTCAAAGGTCTTCCCTCCATAGCGGACCTTTGAGAATTTAGAAGAAGACCCTTTTCTACACAGAAGGTTAATCACAGGTCTTCTCTAAATAGAAGATTTTCCAAAGGTTTACTCTCCGTAGACGACCTTTAAACAAATTTCTCTCTATAAAAAACCTATCAAAGGTCTTGTCTTCATAAACACCATTCACAGGATTTCTCTCCATAGAAGATCTTTAAGAGATCTTCTCTACAAAGAAGACCTTTCTGTACATAGAAGAGCATTCACAGGTATTTTCCCTATAGGAGATTTTTCAAAGGCTTTCTCTGCATGAACAATTTTTAAACGGTCTTGTCTCTATAAAAGACCTATCAAAGGTTTTCACTTCATAGAACACCATTTACAAGTTTTTCTCCCATAGAAGACATTTTAACTGTCTACTCTCCATAGAAATTCATACAGCGGTCTTTTCTCCATACCAGAAGACATTCCAAAGGTCTTCTCTCTTAAGAAATCTTCAAAGTTCCTTCCTGTCTTGAAAATACAGTTGATAGATCTTTTCTCTAAAGAGGATATATGAAATGTATTTTCTCTGTGAAAATTTTTTCAAGGGTTCCCCCATATGAGACCTTTGAAATTTATTCTCTCTATAGAATAACTTTTAAAAACATTCTCTCTATAAAATAAATGTTAAAGTTTTTCTATGTATGGAAGTCCTTCAAAACATCTTCTTATCGAAGACCTTCAAGACATCTTCTTTTTATCGAAGACTTTTATTGTGAAAGGTCTTTCAAAGAAGATCTTTTAAAGGTCTTCTGTCTCCAGAAAATTCCGTAAAGGTGGACTGTCTATGAAAGACTTTCCTTTCACTAGACACATTTTTCAAGTCGTCTGAATATATAAGTCCCTACAAATGTCTTCTGATTCTAAAAGACCTTCATAAGGCCTTTTGTTAGAAGAAACTATGTGAGAAATCCTTTGAGTAGCCCTTTTAGAGTTCTCCAGTGTACAGAAGAGTTTTCAAGTTCTTTTTGCTTTCCAAGTGTTCTTTGTGAAAAAGTCCTTCCCGAAATGTTCCGAAATTGATTGACCTTTGGACCATCATAGGGCATCATAAAAACAGTGAAAATCCCCCATTTATTTTTTGATAATATTTCGCTTGGTAACAACATTTTTCTTATCGGAAGTTCTCATAGCAGGCATTGCTTCATCAGCTGACGTTTACGAATGTTTTTGTTTACAAAAAGAAAACATGAAATTCCATTTAATGCAATAATTTTGTTATTGTTTAAAACCTGTTATAAAATTTATTTCCCGATTTTTATAAACACAATTTAACTTTCACTGTTACTAAGGCCGGTGTCATCAGCGACTATAACAGCCAACCGATGATGTTGTAAATTTCAATTTACAACCATATATGGGGAGAGAATTTGGAAAACGGATGTATTTTACGAGTTTTTTTTTTTTTTTTTTGTGAGTTAGAAACTTGAAAATCGGAAATTGATTTTCCTCTTTATGGGAGTTATTGTTATTTCAGATTTTGACAGATTGAAGGATAGGATCAGAGGGAGTGGTTTAATATTGTCCATTCTGACACGAAATAGTTCAATATCTATATCAACACCATTGTTTTTTTCTTGGTCGCCTGTCGGTAACTTACTTACCAAAGTTCGGCTTTATAGTCGGACGGGCACACTGAATGTCGTTGTCACTCATTATTTCGTAATGAGTTAAATAAGTTATTTTCCTTTGTATTTTTTCAAGTATAATCCATTATTTGCAAACTATCGTAATAATGCAAAAGGTGGTATATTTACATTACCGTGTAATGGGTTATTCGTCTCACGACCTTCTAAAGCAGAAGAAAGTCATTCCCAACACTTTATGAGGGTATTTATTAACAGAAAAATATTTTTTATTTACGTTGTTAACACATTTGACGCCTTTAATTTCCCATTTTGCGTCATGTCAAATCCGACTGAGAATACAGCAGCATCCGTTGGGGTCCACTAACGGCAAATAAATGGGTGAAGGTAGTTGGGGAAATAATTTATTGTAGGCACATGTCGTTATTGTAAACAACAAAATAATAAAAAAAAAACAATATAAATGTGTTGTGGGTTTCAATTGCATGTGTATTAAGGTGGTTCGAAATAAATAACAAACGATTAGTAGCTGGAAAGGTATAATGGATTTGCCTTTGAAATGTTTATTCTTTTTAAGAATCCTAATTTATCTTTTTATCCAATTTTAATTTTCATATGGCTATCATTTGATACGGCCAAAACGAGCCTCAACGAAATAACCGTTTGACATTTAGAGTCCATTTAGAGAACTTACACCGCAACAGAAAGAAAATAGACTTAAAAGAGCCAAAGAGTTGCTTCGCTTAGCCGAAAGTGGTAAACTGCCGAATTTGGTTTTCTCCGATGAGAAAACATTCGCTGTCCAGCAGTTTGTAAACAAACAAAATGATCGTGTGTACTTGCCAAGAAGGTCAGCTGAAAATGTGCACCTTCGGTTGGCCACCAGAACTCAAGCACCGGCCATGGTGATGGTGTGGGCGGCCATAACAGCCGATTGTCGCTCTCCCCTCGTATTAATCGACTGTGGCTAGGCAGAATAAGTGGCGAATATTATGGCGAAAAAAAATCTGGAGGGTGTATTAAAGCCTTGGGCACGCAAATATTTTGGCAGCAGACCTTCGACATTCAATGGTTACAAAATGAGGTTCCTCGCTTCATTTCCAGCGCACAATGACCACCGAAATCTCGGGATACCAATCCGTTGGACTATTGTGTCTGGAGTATTTTGCAAAGCAAGGTTGGCACTAAACAAGTTAAAAAGCAGTAAGTTCGGCCAGGCCGAACTTTGAATACCCTCCACCATTTGCAACGAATTTGGAAATTTTTAAAAAAATAAAATCCTTAAAAAATTCTTTTAAAATTTTAAAAATACCGAATATAGCCGTTATATTGGGGTCTATACGACGTGGACATACATAGGCATTGTTTGTCATAATCCATTACCATATTCAAATTCGAAACTTGAAATAAACAGTGAATCATCAAAATATCGTATATAAGGAGGTGCCGTTAAATTGGAGCTGTGCGAAGACCTGGACCAGCATAGACAATTTTCTGTCACAGGCTGTAGCATCCATTACGAACTTCAAATACCACATCTCAAACTATTTCGGTGGGTATTGTACCTAAAATCGTCAAAATACCGAATATAGGGAGGTACCGTTATATGGGGGCTATACGAAGGCGTGGTCCTGCACAGACAATTTTCGGTGATAGGCTGTAGCATCCATTACGAATTTCAAATACAAAATGTGAAACATTTCTGGTAAATAATGTCGCTAAAATCATCAAAATACCGAATATCGGGAGGTACTGATATATGGGGCCTATTCGAAGACCTGGACCCGTACAGACAATTTTCTGTCACAGACTGTAGTTCCCATAACGAACTTCAAATACCAATTTTGAAACAATTCCGGTGAATAATGTCTCTAAATCATCAAAATACCGAATATAGGGAGGTACCGTTATATGGGGGCTATATGAAGACGTGGACCTGCACAGACAATTTTCTGTCTTAGGGTGTAGTATCCATTTTGAACTTCAAATACCAAATTTGAAACAATTCCCGTGAATAATGTCGCTAAAATCAACAAAATACCGAATATAGGGAGGTACCGTTATATTGGGCCTATACGAAGACGTGGACCTGCACAGACAATTTTTTGTCTTAGGGTGTAGTATCCATTTTGAACTTCAAATACCAATTCCGGTGAATAATGTCGCTAAAGTCATCAAAATACCGAATATAGGGAGGTACCGTTATATCGGGGCTATATGAAAACGTGGACCTACATGGCCCATTTACGAACTTAACCTGCCTACTGGAAAAATAAACATGTGTGCAAAATTTTAGCCATCTATCTCAATTCATTCGAAAGATTACAACGTGATTACAACAGACAGACAGACATACGGACAGACAGACGGACATCGCTAAATCGACTTAGAATTTTACCCTGATCAAGAATATATATACTTTGTTGGGTCTGATATGAGTATTTCGAGGAGTTACAAACGGAATGACAAAGTTAATATACCCTCCATAGTATGGTGGAGGGTATAAAAATACCAAAGTGTCGATCACCTCAAGCAAACGCTTCACCGGGAATGGGTCAAAATACCATAGAGCAACATTCGGGCAGCGTGTGACGTTTTCATTGGCCGTTTGAAGGCCATAATTCGGGCAAAAGGTGACCAATTCCAGCTAATCTAAACTTATTCTAAAATTTGATGTTATTTCCAATTTTTTTTTTTTTTTGCTTTCATTCAATTAAATTTAAAAAAAAAATGTAAAAATTATGGCGTTTGACTTTCTTGCAGATTTTTTATCTCACCCTGTATATTGGATTTGCATTGGATTTTTAAGAATTCTAATTTATTTTTTTATACGATTTTAATGTTGATATCTGTGGAACTCAGGGAGTTACTGCTCAACTATATGGCTATCATTTAATATGGCCAAAACGAGCCTCAGCGAAATAACCGTTTGAGAACCAAGGTCTCTTTAGACCGTTTCAGGACATTTAGAGTCGATCTAGGGGTGTCCGTCCGTCTGTCTAGCTGGTGCACACTATAACTCTCGAATGGACTATCCGATTTGGTCCAAACTTGGTACATCGCAATGTTATTGTCAAACTTTGATAAACTACGAAGACGGACAAAATCTGTCCACCCCATCTGGTACCTTCTCCACAAAAGGTCAACATTTTCACAAAAATAATTTATCTCATAGACTCTTTCTGGTACCTCCCCCACAATCGGTCAAAATTTGGAGTAATTTAAATCTCTCATAATATCTATCAAATAAGCGTCCCAATATTTTTACTAACACAAGATGTGGTGTTAAGACGGGATATATTGGCTCACACTTTCTGGTACCTCTCCCACAAAGGGTCACAATTTTCATAACTTGTGAAACAAGTCAATGATACATTTCAAAATTGGTATATCCAAATATTTCTCCCAACCAGAGATCTCAATACCCACCCTATTGTTTTTTACCTCTTTATATAAGGTTACAACAAGTAATGTGTTTTTAATGATGTCTGGCACCTATTTCGCAAATGGAAACGAAAATAAGATAATTTTCTTTGTGTATTTTTTTTTTCAAAAACGCAATTTTTTTTTTTTAATTTTTTCTGTTGTGTATTGTTATATTAATATTAATTTTTTTATCGTTTTTGTTGTTTTTTTTTCTTGCAGCCTGGACGTGTTGCTACTTTGGTAGAAGACAAAGAGGTAAGTGAAATATATTTTGTTTTAATGCAATTTAATTTGCTGGTAAAGTAGTTTAATCTGAAGGTCTTTTTGTTGGTAGGAAGTAGCCGCTAGTAGGTGTTTATTGATTACGCTTGACCTGTGTTTTTTGTTCAATTTATTTATTTTTTTTTTTTAATTTGTGGGATGTGAGTCAACATTCGAATAATTTTTTTTTTTTCAAAATTATTGCTCAGCTTGTTATTGACAAAGTTATTAAAAATCGACTTGTATTTTAAGAACGAAAAACGGCCTTAAGCCCAACCGAACCGAACTTTTTATACACTCGGTATAATTTATATGCTGCTGAAATAAGTTGTCTTAAAATCTCTAAAATGTGGGATTTTTAAAACCCGTAAAATAACTAAATTGCAGTCCATTCAATTCAAAAATGTGGTTATGAAAATAAAAATAAAAAACTCATAATTGGTGAGCAATTTATGGGAGGATGTTTTGTTTCTCATTAAGATTTCAAAAGTTCGAATTACAGCTGCGCTGACAAGGAAATGTGAAAGGAAACTTAAAACTGCCACTTCTGGTATTATTGAAGTAGAAAATTTCGAAATGTTGAAGGTACCATTGCATGGGGTCAGCTTTAGTACAAACCAGTGCCGGTGTTACTCATTACTTAATAATGAGAAAAGTAAGCTCTTTTGCTTGTTTTTTTTTTTATACCCTCCACCTTGGAAAGGAGGGTATATTAACTTTGTCATTCCGTTTGTAACATCCCTAAATATTCGTTTTAGACCCCATAATTCCAAGTCGATTTAACGATGTCCGTCTGTCTGTCTGTCTGTCTGTTGAAATCACGATACAGCCCACATTATTTGACGTAGAGCTCCAAAATTTAGCAGAGCTATTTGCATTGTGTCTAGGATGGTTGGTATTGAAAATGAGATATATCGGTCCACGTTCTGGTATAGTCCCCATATAACGGTACCTCCCGATATTCGGTATTTTGATGATTTATGCCACATTTTTTCACGGACTTGTCTTAAAATTGGTATTTGTAGGTCATAGCGGGTCCCTGAGCGTGTGGCAAAACATTGCATGTATAGGTCCACGTTGTAGTATAGCCCCCATATAAAGGTACCTCCCGATATTTAGTATTTTAGTTTTTTTTTTACCACATTTTTTCACCGATTTGTCTAAAAATTGGTATTTGTGGGTCATAATGGTTTCCAGCTCCGGTGGCGGAACATTGCATGTATGGGTCCATAATTTGGTATAGTCCCCATATAACGGTACCTCCCGATATTCGGTAATTTGATGATTTTTGCCACATTTTTTCAGGGATTTGTTCGAAAATTGGTATTTGTTGGTCATAATTGGTTCCAGCTTCGGTGGCGAAACATTGAATGCATGGGTCCATGATTTGATATAGCCCCCATATAACGGTACCTCCCGATATTCGGTATTTTGATGGTTTTTGCCACATTTTTTCACTGATTTGTCTAAAAATTGGTATTTGTGGGTCATAATGGGTTCCAGCTCCGGTGGCGAAACATTGTAATTATAGGTCCACGTTTTGGTATAGCCCCCATATAACGGTACCTCCCCATAATCGGCATTTTAATGGTTTTTGCCACATTTCTTCTAATGTTTCTTTTACCCTAAGGTGGAGGGTATTAAAAGTTTGGCCCGGCCGAACTTAATGTTTTTTTACTTGTTTATTTTTATTCTTTTTTTTTTTTTGGAACAACCCAGGAACGACCTTTCGATAATGCAGAAAGTACCTGTTTACATTACCTTTTTATTGTTTACCCCTCTCATAGAACTTCCAAGTTTTTGTGGGGGTGATTTAAACCAAATCATACATCGTAGAAGATTTTCAGACTTTCAATATTTTTTTTTTTTCGTAAAGAATAATAGGAAAATGTTTAACTTTTACACCAACTAGTCATCAAAATTTTTAATTTTGAAGTTTTCCGAGAGGGATATTAGTAACACCATTGCAATATGGACCAACATCACATTTTTCTGACCAAAACTATTTTAACGTCCCCTGGAAAACAATAGTGACCTTAATAAAAAATTTCAGAATTTCAGCTCTATCCCTTCACCCAATACCAAATTTAGTACCATTTAGTACTTTTTGTACGAATATAGGACGCATTTCAAAGCCACCACCCAATCTCAAACGCAAATACCATAAGTAATCTGAATAAAAAATTTCAGAATTTTATCTCTGTAATTTCCCCCCATTACAAAATTTAGTAACATTTAATACAATTATGGTACGCATTTGCAAAACCACCACCAGATTTCAAGCACAAATACCAACAGTGACATCTACATCAAATGTCAGCACTATCCCTTCATCCAATACCAAATTTAGTACCATTTAGTACTTATTGTACAAATATAGAACGCATTCACAAACCATCGCCAAATCTCAAGCGCAGATACCATCAGTAATCTATAAATCAAGTTTCAGAATTTTATCTCTGTAATTTCCCCCACTACCATTTGGTTCAACTATAGTACCCAAATCTAAAATCAGCCCATTCTCTCAAACACAGACTCCAATTGTGACATCCATATTAAATTTCGGGATTCTAGTTTTATAAATTCCCTCAATACCAAATTCGGAAACATTTAAAACTTTTCGTATAATTTTAGTTTAATTTACGTCTACATCAAATATCAGAAATTCAGTTCTATCCCTTCATCCAATACCAAATTTAGTTCTTTTCGTATATATGTAGGACGCAGTTCCAAACCACAGCCAAATCTCAAGCACAGATACCATCAGTAACCTTAATATCAAATTTAAGGATTTCAGATCTGTAATATCCCCCATTACTAAATTTAGTACCATTTAGAACAATTATAGTACGCATATCCAAAGCTAGATCCTTGTCTAAGCACTAACCACAGACTCCAACAGTGACATCCATCGGAATTCGGGATAGTTCTACGAATTCCCTCAATACCAAATTTAGTACCATTTAGTACATTATGGTACGCATCTGCAAAACCACCACCAGATACCAAAAGAGACCTCCATATCAAATTTCGGGTTTCAGCTCTATTCCTTCACCCAACACCAAATTTAGTACTTTTCGTACAATTTAGTACACATTTCCCAATCACCTCCATATCTTAACCAGACAGACACCAACAGTGGCATCTATATAAAAGTTCGGAATTCCTAATCCATAAATTTCGTCAATACCAAATTTAGTAACATTTAGTACTTTTCGTATAATTTTAGTACTCTTTTGAAAACCGTTCCATATCTCAAACCTGGACACCAACAGTGACATCCATACCTAATTTCAGGATTTCAGCTCTGTAATTTCTCTCCATTACCAAATGTCATACTACTAAGTGTTTTTAGTACAATTATAGTACACATGTCCAAACCCCTCCCTCCATCTCCAAATCTCAACCTCAGATACCAAAAGTGACATCCATATCAACTTTCAGGATTTCAGTTCTATTTCTTCACCGAATACCGAATTTAGTACTATCCATAAAATTATAGTAAACTTTTTCAAAACCACATTCATATGTTTGAGCACCCAGCAAATTGTACCAAGTACATGGTGAGATAAAAAAACTGCAACAAAGTCAAACGCCATATTTTTAACATTTTTTTTTAATTTTATTGAATGAAAGCTAAAAATGTCGGAAATAGCGGAATATCAAACTTTATAATATGTTTAGATTTGTTCGAATTGGTCACCTTTGGCACGAATTATGGCCTTCAAACGGCCAATGAAACCGTCATATGCTGCCCGAATGTTGTGTTGCGGTATTTTGGCCCATTCCCAGCGAAGCGCTTGCTTGAGGTGATCGACACTTTGGTATTTTTTAGTGCCAATCTTGCTTTCCGAAATACTCCATTCACAATAGTCCAACGGATTTTTATCCGGAGTTTTTGGTGGCCATTGTGCGCTGGAAATGAAGCGAGGAACCTCATTTTGTAACCATTCTTGGTTGGCGCCTGCTCAGTGCGATGGTGCTGAGTCCTGTTGGAATGTCCAAGGTCTGCAGTCAGAATGTTTTCGTGTCCATAATATTCGCCATTTATTATACAGCAGCGACCATCGGCTGTTATGACGGGCCACACCATCGGCGCTTGAATTCTGGTGGCCAACCGAAGGTGCACATTTTCAGCTGGCCTCTTTGGCAATTGTTTACAAACTGCTTGACAACGAATGTTTTCTCATCGGAGAAACCCAAATTGGGCAGTTCACCACTTTCGGCCAAGCAAAGCAACTCTTTAGCTCTTTTGAGTCTATTTTCTTTCCGTTGCGGTGTAAGTTGTTGCACTTTCTGGAATTTCAGTGGCTTTACTCCGAACTCATTTTTCAATATTTGCCGAATGGAATATTGCGATATTTTCAGCTCACGAGCCATTTTGCGGTCACTGTGACGCGGGTTTCGATCAAGTCGCTTCGTTACTTTTCGAACCATTTCTGTTGATATTTCACTTTCTTTCTTGAGGTCGGGCTATGCTACCAGTGTCACTGTAACGAGCGATGGTACGAGACACCAAAGATTTATTCACATTTAAATTCTGGAGTGCTCTAACGATAGCCACTTGTGGCCAAATACAAAGAAATTACACTATCACGCTTGAATTCCATTACGAAAAACTATTTTTCTGGAAAATTCTCACCAAAGTGCCTTTGTACGCTTGTAAACAATGTAATGAGCTGTCACTGGAATAATTTTAACAGCTGTCGGACGAGTGGCTTAGAAATGACAGCAGTCTGAGCTTGGTTGCAGTTTATTTATTCATCTCACCCTATATAGTACCATTTAGTAACTTTCGTGCACTTGTAGTACATCAACAGGAACCTCAATACACAATTTCAAAATTCCAGCTTCATCCGTTCACCCTTAGCCAAATTGATGCAATTTTAGTACCATTTACTACAGTTTGCACACTAAGTGCAAATTTCCAAAACCGATTTTGCACAGAGAGTGCTTCAAAACTATTCTCAAAAATCTTATTATTGTCCTGTTGCTTCCTCAAAAAATATGAATGTTGTTAAAAATATTCATAATTATGGCTTTTTATACCCTACACCACATAGTGGTAAGGGTATTATGTCTTTGTGCATTTGTTTGTAACAGGCAAAAGGAAACGAGATAGACCCATAGTTCCTTTTGATGATCTGCATAGAATCACTTTCTGAGTTGATTTATGCATGTCAGTCCGTCCATCCGTCCGTCCGTCCATGTATTCTTGTGAACAAAATGCAGGTCGCATTTATTATCTGATTGAGATGAAATTTTGCAAACAACATTTGTTTGGCCCAAGGACGAACCCTATTGAAATTGGAGATAATCGGTAAAAATTTAGATATAGCTCCCATATATATCTTCGTCCGATTTGCCTTTTATTGTGCACCAAACGTGTAATATCAGCCCGAATAGTATGTAATTTTGCACATACAACCAAATTAAGTATGCCAAATTTTATCGAAATCGATTCAGATATAGCTATAGCTCCCATATATATTGTTCATCCGATTTGTTATTTTTGTCCTCCGCAGCCGTAATATGCACTCTGTAACAACAATATTTTGGGGAAATATATCAAATGCAGCTCAGAAATACCTTTGCTAAATTTTATCGAGATCGGTTCAGATTTGGATATAGCTCCCATATATAACTTCGTCCGATTTACCATTTATTGTGCACCTAACGTCTAATATTTGTCCAAATGGGATGGAATTTGGCACATACGACCGAATTTAGTCTAGAAGGTAGTATGCCAAATTTGGTGAAGATCGGTTCAGATATAGTTATAGCTCCCATATATATTGTTCATCCGATTTATTGTATTTGTTACCCACAGCCGTAATATGCACTCTGTAACAACGATATTTCAGGAAATATATCATATACAGCTCAGAAATATATTTGCAAAATTTTTTCGAGATCGGTTCAGATTTGGATATAGCTCCCATATATATCTTTATCTGATTTTAAATTAATTTTGCACCAAATGGGCAATACAAGTCCGAATTTAAAAGATACAAATGCTTCGGCATATTTGGTCCTTTGAACTTTAAATTATAATTATAACCATAGCATGTATGATTGAATTCTCCCATAAAAACTTTTAATTATTAAGTGGAGCTCAACTAAATTAGCAAAGTGGTGTAGGGTATCATAAAGTCGGCCCCGCCCGACTTTAGGACTTTCTTTACTGGTTTAAACTCTGAAAACAGTCCTGAAAATGTACAAATGACCCTTAAACGATGTTGAATCTAGAAAAACAATATTATAAGATAATAGCATTAAAAAACAAGTAAGCAAAGGCTACAGTCGAGCGGGGCCGACCGTTGAATACCCTACAACACTATAATAAATGATACTCGAAAGAATTCCACAAGATATTGTGACAAAAAATAAAAGAAACTATCAGGTTTCGTTCTCTAATTTTCGAATAATAGCAACTTAAACTAATTTGCTCATTTCCAATTTATTGGTAGATGTTGCACTTAAATGGTCTTCCTAGATCTGGAACCAATATTTCCCAAAGACCTATAATCTCTCAGAAGTGGCAAAAGATTAACATTTATTATTGGTTTTTGACTGAAACGCATCTATATGAGATACAGACATTTGACTATATTCTTCAACGAAATCAGCGTTAACGAAATAGTCAAAAGTGCGTCTTTCCTGTATTTGTGAATTCTCCAAAATGCCACAGGGATGGACATTTTCGTATTTTGTCTACAAAAGTTGGCAAACTATTTCACACATTGAATATTTTTGGATGGCCATCCAAAACTATTTGGCTTTTGCAATGTCCGGTAACGTCCAATCAAATACGCGTAAGGATCGGGCGATAATTACGACTTGCTGACAATTTTGCAGTTTTTTTGTCCGATCATCTCCAAAAAGAGTAGGCTTCTATTCTGACCCTCATCTTATCCCCATGCAAAATTTCGTAAGGATCGAGCCATAAATGCGATCTGTATATGATATCCTGATATCCTAACTACTTAGTTTTGTTAGCTGTAGAAATATTACCAAATGTTTAATTCAAAATGAAAATATGCCAAAAATATGACAAAATTGAAAAAAAAAATATGAGAAAATGTTATAAAATCAATGTTTTCATCTTTAAAGAGATATTTTTATGCGATTTTTTCAGATGTTTTTTCTTTCCTGCCAAGAGTCCATTCTGAATTAATGAGAACTGTCGAAATCAGTTCAGCCGTTCTCGACATATAAGAGATCTTTCAAGCATATCTTCTTTGATAGACATATATATCGCACATATTTTGCTATATATCCGATTTGTTGGATGTTAACATCAATGTAAAGGTCAGAAGTAACCTTGTGATAGCTTTGTGATTTCGCCGGGATTTAAAATATTCACGGTTTAATGAAAAATTTTGAATTTTTCAACACAAAAGATATGGTATGTTTTACCCGCTAAATATTATCCGATGACCACCCAAATTGGTAGGCTTCTTCCCCACCCTAAACTCTAGCTACATGCGAAATTGGTCTATAATTGCGACCTGTATAGCTACTGCAAAATCCGACATTTTTTTAGTATTTGGTCCATTTCAACCCCTAAACAGTTGGCGATCATCTCCAAAAGAAATAGGCTTCTATTCTGACCCTAACCCCACCTTCGTGCAAAATTTCGTAAGGATCGGGCCATAATTGCGACCTGTAGCGTGATTACAAATTAACATGGACAGGCGGACAGACGGACAGACGGACGGACGGACATACATAGCTAGATCGACTCAGCTCGGCGAGCTAGGAAGATCCATATATACTTTCCTATATGGGAAACCAATATTTCGAGGTGTTACATAAATTCTGGCCCAATCAAACTTATAATACCCCCAACACATAGTGTTGTAGGGTATAAAAATAAAAATATTTATTTTTGCCTGGGATTTTTCTAGAAAACCTCACAACTAGTGGTTTAATTGAAACTCAAATTCTTAAAAAAAAAAAAAAAAAAAAAAAAAAAAACATTAAAAACATCCCCTCAATATTTCTGAGCATTTCATCTTGATTATTTTCGAAATCAAACCAAGTAGTTTACACAAATAATAATTATTTTTATTTAATTTTTTTTTCGATTTTGACCTCAAAAATTCCATCAATAAAACAGATGATAGAGTCAAAAAGATGGCTGGGCTTTTTATGGCTTGAGGGTCTGAACTTTTCAAAGTAAGCCCCTTTGAGTGTTGTCATCAATGTGCGCTCTAGACGCATACAACGACAACTTGTCAATAACTCAACTTTACTGGCACGTTTCCACAGACACCGAAACCCATATTATTCGTTTCCAGAGAAACTCTTAATTGAATTTCGGCGGATTTCCGCGAAATATAGGCGAATACCTCTAAGATTTAAAGGCACTTTTTACTACGCCGTTCTACTTTCTAAACTAGACCAGGGGACTTTCCCCAGAGCATCGTGATGAAAGACCGTCAGCCTTTCCGCATAGAGTTACCAAGAACTCGTGTGTGGCTCCGAGTGACAAGCATGAAATATTCAAACGACCAAGCCAATGCCCACCCGTCTGGTGTTCTTACGAAGTATATATACAAATCACATGAGAAAAAAGTATATGCGAATTATAAGCAAATGTGTTTGTGTCTTTCTAGCCACTGAATAGAAACAAAACATTGAAATGTGTAGCATACTTTAAGGGTTTACTCAAGAAAAGTATGTGTCAAGTGGTTGATAATTGTGACAAGCGTGGTGAAAACAAATGTTGTGTCTAAAAATAACTTTTCACCATAGGAATGAGATGAGATGTTTAATATTCACCTTGTATTTTTTTTTTTTATAATAGACAAAAATAAATAATTTAATATTTTTTTTTTATTTTAGGGTATCACATGGGGCTGTGCTTATAGAATATGTGGACAAACAGCCTTGGATTATTTAAAGCAACGAGAATGTACATTAGGTAAGTAGTTATTAAATATTAATACCCAAGCCTCCAGACCATATAGGCAGTAAACGACTTCTAGGTCTTCTATTGGTTATAGAAGACTTTCATGTCTGCCATAGAAGACTTTCATGTCTTTCGTAGGCAGTATTCTGTAGGCCATAAAATAACTCCAGGTCCTCTATATACCATAGACCTCTATATAGGTGCTCTGTAGACTTGCAGTCTTCTGTAGGGAGTAGAAGGCCTCCGGGTCTTCCATAGGCCATAGAAAGCAACAGGTCTACTATAGACATTTGAACTTCTCCAGGTATTCTATAGCCAACAGAAGACTTCCCAGTTTTCCACGGAGAATAGATCGTCATAGAAGACAACCAGGTTTTCTATAACTAATAGAAGTCCTCCAGGTATTCTATACGCCATAAAAGGTCTTCAGGTCTATTGGCTATAGAAGACCTCTTTGTCTTTTATAGGACATGGAAGGTCTCCATGTTTTTTGTAGGAAGTAGAAGACCTCCAGGTTTTCTTTAGGCTTTCAAGTCTCCTATAGGCCATAAAAGGTCTCCAAGTCTATTGGCTATAAAAGGTCTTCTTTGTCCTTTAAAAGGACATGAAAGGTCTCCATTTTTTTTTGTAGGAATTAGGTTTTCTTTAGACTTTCACGTCTTTTATAGGCTCCTCCAGGAATTCTATAGCCAACAGAAGACTTCCCAGTTTTCCACGGAGAATAGACCCTCATAGAAGAAGCTATTCTATAACTAATAGAAGTCCTCCAGGTATTCTATACGCCATAAAAGGTCTTCAGTTCTATTGGCTATAGAAGACCTCTTTGTCTTTTGTAGGACATGAAAAGTATCCATGTTTTCTATTGAAAGAAGAAGACCTCCTGGTGTTCTTTAGGCTTTCAAGTCTTCTATAGGCCATAAAAGGTCTCCAAGTCTATTGGCTATAGAAGACCTCTTTGTCTTTTAAAAGGACATGAAAGGTCTCCATGTTTTTTTGTAGGAAATAGGTTTTCTTTAGACTTTCACGCCTTTTATAGGCCATAGTAGGTTTCCAGGTCTTCTATAGATCATAGGGACCTCAAGGTCTTCTGAAGGCCATAAATGACCTTCAAGCCTTTATTGGCAATTCAATTTCTTAAGGACTTCTGTAAACCATAGAAGGCCTCTAGGTGTTCCATGGGCAATAGAAGACCTCCAGGTATACCACGGCTTCCAATGTCCTCTCGGTGTTCCAACGATAAAAGAAACATTTAAATCTTTCACTGACAAGACAAATTCTTTCCGCCCATTTGTTCCATCTGCTCTAATCCTCCTTATCTATATATGTCATTATTATTAATTCCCCTTTTTTTTCCTTCAATTTCAGGTGGCTATACAACAGTCGATACAAAATTCTATCCCCGCATTGCATCATACGATGCAGCATTTGGTGGTGAAGCCCTGCCGGTTCTGGTCTATGTCGCCAACAAGGATAGTGAACATTGGTTGGGTGAGGACGAACTGGAAAATGTTGCCAAACAAATTGTCGAGTGTAAGGGACCCAGTGGTCATAATGCTGAATATTTGCTTAGACTTGCCACTTTTATGCACGAAGAAATTCCCGAAATATGGGATGAGCATTTATTCCAATTGGAGACACTAGTCTTGAGTGAGCTGCGCAAACGTAACATACCATTGTGGACGGTGATGGGTATGAATCGTGATCGGATACGTCGTGATTCACATGAAGAAATACGACGACCACCTAGTTTTGAATTTACATCGCGAGTGCCGGAACGTAAACTACGTTGTTTGAATATTTAGGCGGGAAGAGAAAACCCAAAAAGGAGAGAAAAAAAGAATATCAAGCGGGCACGTCTTACAGTAAACAAAATATCGCTGGACAAGGCATGTTTTAAGTTTTTCGGCTTAGTATTAACTGTTCTATCTGAGGCTGAAATCCATTCAAAATGCTTACGATATTTTCCAAGTTGTTTTGATGCCTGGTAGCATAACATTAAAAATCAATCATATAACTAAAATTATTTCAATTTTGAAACAAATTGTTTCTCAGAAACTTCAAAAAAGAAAATTCTTTGTATGATATTGGAATGTAACCTAATAAAACCTAGTTATAGGTAATAGATTTATTTGGAAAGTAAATTTACATTAACAAAATAACACTTTTTCTAAATCACATAAAAAATGCTTTATTAATTTGTAAGCTAGAATAACTAATACAAGACAAACGCAACAATCCAAAAACAATATTTGTTCAAATATTGTAATAGGTTTATAAAGAATATTTTATACATATATGAGAAAAAAAAGAAAATAATACAATATGATCATATTCTAATATCAAAAAGTACTGAAATCCTACAAATTGTTACTATTTTTAACAAAATACAAAAAGAAAAAAATTGTTCAAGAAATTTTTGTACAAGAACGGAGATTATTATGAATATTATGGAAGAAAATATTTAACATATATTAATAAAAAAGAAAATACAAAAAAAAATTACACTTTTCCTGAGATTTGAACTCGGTGTCCCAGTTAAGTTTCCTAATTTCCATTAAAAAAGTATTTTCTACGTTCAAACTGGTCATCCTAAAAGTATGCTTTGGATTCTGAATACAAAATATTTCTCACAACTATCAGAAAATATCGGTATCTCTTAGATGTACACAGTAGGGCTGTAACTTTCACGATGGATGGATGTTTTACCATTCATGGTAAAGACACGTGGAGTAACTGTGAATAATTTAAAATAAGGAAAATCAACAATTTTTCTCCGATATTTTCGACATTTCATAGAAGTATATAGCTGAACTGGAAAATTCTACTGCTAATTCACATGAGTTTAGATTTGAACTTAATTGAACGAGGGCCTTTAAGATTGAGAGTTGAGTGGTAATTGACAAGGTACCAGTTCAGGTTTCTTTACTTTACATTCTTACTCAAACAATTTTAATCTCACAGACCTTCAAAAGTCTAAAATAAAATATAATAAATTCTCCTTAATTTAATTAAATTTTACCTAAATTGAACATGAGCCAGATTTTTTTTTACCCTTGGAGACTTTCCCCTTTTCTTCAGAATAATATTTTCCAAGACTATTATTCTTTCAGCTATAGGTCTACATCACACACACTATGTCTATGGAATCTCTTACGTGAGATGCCGCTACACTTTGAGTTAGGGCCTTAATTTTGTAAACCAATCCGCGTTTGTTTTACTGCATTCAAAAAATAAATGAAGATGTGCTGCAGGATAAGTTGACTGAAGATGGCAGAAGGATTGTAACTGCCCATGGCTAGGAACACACTGCGGAGATGAGAACATAGCTGAATGTGCAGGTCGAGGGCACGTAATTCCGACCACTGACTAGTCTGCGAAAGAACTGCAAAAGAGTGCCTCCTCATGACTCCTGTGGACCATTTACATGAGGAGAATCTAGAGGGTCCTGCGATATAAGAGAGAGCCCCTAGATGATGAAGCTTATCAAGCGGGTCTGAAAAGCATTCATACTGATGCAGTCGCAGAGGTAGTTAACAATTACAGTATGAATGCCATCCATTGCAGCTGAAGAAGGTCAGCTACCTAGGCAAACCAGAGTAGTTTTGGTCCAACTACATTTAGGGTGGCGCAGCCGTCTCTATTCATATTGGGCACGAATTGACAAAGATGTGCGAAACGCCTGCCCAGCGTGCGATACAGGCCCGCACTATACTCTGCATCTGTTTAATTGTCCATCCAAGCCTACCCAACTTCGTCCAGAGGATCTCTGGCTACAGCCCATAAAGGTAGCAGAATTCCTAAACCTGGACATGGAGGAAGAACCGGATTAATCAGTCTATAACAACGGCAGTTAACACTGCTACACAACAGGAACAAACTATTGTAGTATTAAATTCTGTTTTTAGAAAATTTTATTTTACAAATGAAATTATTAATAAAAAATGAATCTTATTTCTCTATGATTTTACTGACAACTATACTTAGAATAAGAAAATAGCACTTGTTATATGAATGCAACAGAACATTATCAAAATATGAATGCGCATCGAAATTAAGTTTAACATCCATAAAGATCGGCATAGATATTTTCAAATTTGTAAAGTCTTTAAAAAAAAAATATTTTGTGCATGATCTCTATCGATTATTGAATTCAATTAATGCCATTCAAAATTTGTATGTGATACTTATGTTTCATGAACTGTGCTCTAAGAAACTTTATTTCCACAATTACTAGTTGGTGAGAATTTCAGCGGCACGTGTTTCCATGAGTTTTTCCATTGATGTAATGCTTGTCATCCAGTTATCCAATGTGGTAGCCATACTGGCAATTTGTTTGCGGTCCAAGACTCGAGGTAGAACCTGGAAACAAATTTACAAAATAAAAACAGTTCATAAACAACCATAAACATGTTAAATATATAAATTATAAATAAATAAGCGCAATTACACAGCATAAACTTGGCATTCATCTTTCATTGCTGTTCATTAAAAAATAGTGTCATTACCGTACCAAGAAACTTGCAAAACTTTTCAAAATTGTAAAACGTTAAAAAAAATTGCTAAACAGTAGTTTTTTGAAAATTCTTGCACGGAGAAGAGAAAATAAAATTTTCACAAATGCAAATTATTTTGATATTTTGAACTAATCGCTTTTCAATTTATACTATCAATAAGCAATTCAGGAGTCGGAATCTCTAACTCATTTTTTGAGTTACCGACAAAAACCGGTGATTTTGAAAACCAAAATAATTATATAAAAAAGAAATTGGAGTTGACGGCATTGGTATCTACTGGTAGTTCATAGTGACTACTTCGATTTCGTCGCTAACGTACCGACAAATTTCGTTAATTATCGAAATTATAATCATTTTAAATTTACCGACTTTTGTCGGTAACTCAAACAATGAGTTAGAGAATTCCACTAAAGATTGCTATACAAAACCAGCTTAAATTGTAAACCATATTTTCGGGTTATAAAACTCTATTAAAACAAAAAAACACATAAATAATTGCCAAAATGACATACCCAAGACATATTCACAACGCCAGCAACTTGATCAATTTCACCTTTAACCAAATCCAAGGCCAATGCTTTCATAATCAACAATTCAACTTCTTTCAAAGGAAGTTGGGTTTCCTCGGCGATATCTTCAAATGTTATAGAGCGTTGAGTGGCAGAACGCTTGAATGTCATTTCCATCAAGCAAAGCAGGGAGATTTTTTGACGCAATTTAATTTCGTGGGCAAGTAAGTCGGGAATTTTTGACCATGTGGGCTTCATATCATTGAATCTACCACGAAACAGAGATGACAAAACATAATAATTTTTTCTTTTACCTTAAATTAAGTTTCAAGATTTTTACTTTTTAATATCGCCAGTGTTAAATGCGCTCAGTAATTCCACCAACCATTCGTTCTCGGTTCCCTTCAAAGCAGTTAAAATGGGATGGGCAAGCTGGAATAAAGCAATGTCATTAAAACCCACGCCTTAATGCATTTGATCAACTTACCAATTCGCCAATATTGTAAATACCCTCACCCAAAAGGGCAGCCAGACCCAAGCAAAAAGCCTGTTGGGCCCATTGATCTTTGGGATAATTATCAATGGAACAACCCAAGAATTGTAGACCACAACGATAGTAATCACTGTGTTTACCCACACGACGATAGTAATCTGAAGCCAACATATAATATTTTCCATGGACAGGTGTTACATTGCCCACATCTTCCAAGGTGTCGCGTAATTCTTCGATAATTTTCTTGCAGGCATCTAAATCGTTCAGTTGAGACAAATAAATGTTACCTTGTATGACCTAACAACGAAAACAAAATTAGAAATACTTTAAAACCTTTGCTATTGCTGCACTTACTTGAGTATACCAGACAGCTTCATCGCAAATCTTAACCTTATCCTTGATTTTATTTAAAAATTCAATGGCCTCCTTTTTGTCGGTAATATGTTCAACAATAACCTCAACAATCTCCACAAGACCATAGGGATTGATCCTTTAAGGTAAGACAATTTTTATATGTTAAGGACCACACTAACCTGGGTTTAGCTTTATCAAACCCATACTTACTTCATTTCAAATGATTGTAGAAAATTCTGATACAACTGCAATAGGGCTTCCTCATCTTGCATGGAGGCATGACGAACAAACTTATTTAATTTTATTGTTAATTCATTCCATAATCTGTGGGCAAAATAGACAAAATTATAATAAAACTCATATAAATGGACAAAAACACTAACAACAGTAATCGGCATCTAAAACATACTTTTCATTGTACAAGTCTTCCAAGGCAGCCCATTCCGCTGCTAATTCTTTGTTGGTGGTTTTCTTTTGATTTGCCAAGTAGCCAGCTACATTAACTGTGGGTTGTGCCATTTTTTAGATATCTTTGTTCTATTTCTCCTTAACAAAATTACTTATTTTCAACTTTTACCAGTCTTCTCCGGCTGGAATAAATTTTTGCAAATCACAATTAGGGTTAAGGAAGTCGACTTGCGATTAATCGAATAATCGACTTTTAGTACTCTAAGTTCTGAAACTTGAACTCGACTATGCATTTGGGTGAAAACCGAGTACTCGACTATTCATAGTCGATTGTTCAACTTATGCTATGTTCTCATTAAAGCTGCCCTCAGACACTCCAACAGTTGGCCCAACTTGTCACTTTTAAGTTGTATGAAAAAGTTGGTCGGTCTCCTCGCACGTACCAACTTTTCATACAACTGTTGTACCAACTTTTCATTTACAAAGTATTTTTGAAGCGTCAACATGAACTCGGATGCTCTTGCGCTACTTGGAATTGACATAATTTTAGAGGAAGAAGAAGAAAGACAACTGCAGAGAAAGAAAAAGCTGAATTTATGTTTTATTTTAGTTTTTTTTCTTTTGTTTTATGATTATGTTTTGTTTTCGTTTCTTTTCTTGCGCTCAGCGCTCAAAAATTTTTGATATTTCCAACCAACTTTTGAAAAAGTTGTACAACTAGCCCTCAGACCCACCAATAGTTGTACCAACTTGTCACAAGTTGGGCCAACTGTTGGTGTGTCTGAGGGCAGCTTAAAACTTCAATCACGTCGCTCGCTCTTAAAAGTTGTGTTCCAGAACCTGCAAATTAGTACTAATTAGCACTAATTCTGCAACAACGCGTTCCCGTACTCCAAAAACTAGCAAAACTTGCAGCTCTCTCGAGAAAAAAAATGGCGCTGAGTGGTGCACATTTCTGCTTGTTTTAGCTACATGAATTTGGCCGAGCAGAAATGTGCATATTGTAAATTTGACATTTAATTAGCAGGGCTAACAAGGTTGAAAAATGTATTGATACATTTCAATAAAGAAAATGATCTACTTGAAAACTAAAGAAAAACTAATATTTGTCGTGCAAAAAACAAAAAGAGAAAATATGGAGCACTTTTGGATGATTCCAGCAGTGAAGAGGACTGGCTGAATGAGGAATCAGATTATTAATTATTATTATAAATTATTAATTTTAACTTATCGTCTTCAATACTCATTTTTTAAATGTTGGCGCTACACCAGTAAAAAAGTACTGGAACACAACTAAAATTAGCTACACGAATTAATCCGTCCATACACCAGGATTCGTAATTCATAGTAACATAATTCCTTTTTTTGTTGATTTTTATAGAAATTTGTACGAAAGTACATAAAAATTGCCTTAATAATGTTTCGAACTTTTTGTATAGATGTTTACATTTTAAATATATTTTTGTATTTTTCTGTTTTAAAATTCGGTGGGAAAGTCATTTTGTCGATACAAAACTTTGGAAAATATTGGCTCTTTTATTTCCAGTTTTCTGTCAAATTCCAACTAGGGGACAAAAAGCGTGCCGCGCATATGAGAGAAAACAAAATTTACTTTCATTTAAATGCACATACGCCATTCAACATTATATCTTTCATTCATAATTTTCAGTCTTCCTGTGAGATTAAAATCTCATTAATTTTTCTATTTTAAAATGTCATAGGCCCGTTTTTTATCCTTCCTTTGCAGTCCACTTTTGTTATCCCTTACCTTAACAAAAATAAAAGATATAGTTCACATTACCGGCTTTTCATTATTACAGCCTTCCCATGGTAGAAAAATACAGCATTGATAAGTCAAATTTATTTTAAATTTATTTTGTTTAAATTTATTTATTATCAAATATAAGTAGATTTTTATATGTTTTCTTATACGACGTCATTCTGAGGTTATTATAATAAGCATTTTTCAACAATTTTTACAAATTTAAATAATTTTTCATTCAACATTTTCAATTTCAAAATTGGTTTGACAGTTCATTGTCCCAGCAGCTGCGTCGATGCGTCTACCTATATACTTCTACTATGAGCCTTCCGTTAAAATAAATGATTTTTATACAGAGTAAAAGTAACTGGTAGTTGTTGCATTTTTTCACAATGTCATCTTCCTAATAGTTTAAAAATGGTAAACAAAACTAATTTTTGATTAATTTCGTGAAATAAATCTATAATTCAGTTCTTCGATATAAAATAAACTATTAGCGTTATCCATTATTTATTTAAATAAATTCTGTTGTTATTTTCAGATTATCAATAAAAAAATATAGCAACATGAATTCAGTAAACTTTACGTTAAAATGTAAAGGGAAGACTGTCAGAACTTTTGCTTATCGGACAGTTCATACTTAAACTAAACTTGTAATAACGTGTATGTGTAATAATGTATGTGTCCGACAACATCGCTTTTTTATCTATAGGATAGATGTAATAACCGTCCATAATTTATTTTTTCGATAAATGCTATCATTTCTTAGGGATGACATATATATCATCGTAGTTCCGAGAGTGATTTGAATATAGCAAAGAACAAAAATCTTTTTTCGCTCAGAAAATTTTGTGTGGGGAATCAAGTAGATATTTCATAATTAGGTCGAATAAAGATTAAAGGGCGAATCACGTGCCATGTGAACTTAGATTTACTGTGTCCAATATCAATCATGTCCTTGTTAAGGGGAAATTAGTTAGGTGTTATTGTGGTTGTGAGGTGCTTCTAAAGCGCGCGCACTTCTGTCTTGTTGCAGAAGAGAGCGAATGAGCGCATGAGAAACCAAAATGAAAGACGTCCACAACGAAGCGAACATGAAAGGAATACTTGTTAAAAATAAACAAAAAGCAAAATCCTGTGGTACTCTGTTGTTTACGAATGTGAGCAATAGTCTGTTCCAGAACCTGCAAGAATCTACTAGTTTTGCAATTTTTTTCGATATTATAAAGGGAAAATCGGTTATCGTTGCAAAAACTTTTACATTCTTGCAGTTCTGGAACAGACCAAGTCTATATAGGTCCACGTTTACCTATAGCATTTTGTAAAAAAATTAAAACATTTTTTTCGTATTACCCGGAGAATTTCTCCACTTACCCTGCGTTAATAGAGAATAATAAAATTAATTGCGAAAATATAAAAATTTGTCAATGTGACATACCAACAACCATGGTACAATCATGGTACAATGAATACAAGGTAGGCTAACTTTGAAAAAATTGCAAGTATAGAGGGATACCTGTTTGGCTTGTAATGTCAGAATTACTATCAAAACAATAAAAAAGGAAACAACTTGTTGCATTGATTTTGAATAAATAATTTAAAACAGCGAAAACTGAATGAAAGGTCAAAATTTCTTTTTAAAATCATGTTCTATACATCTCTTATGGTTTATTTCGCGACAAAAACTGGAGATTTTGTCGATGCATACGTCGCAATAAGCATTTTGAAAACACCCGAATTTGAATGTTTTCAGAACAATTTTTTTATTATTGAAAAGAATACACACACATAAACAAATGAAGTTGACATATTAAGCCAGAAAAAAAAAAAAAAAAAAAATTAAAATCATATGGTAGTTCTGCCCTAACTTGAATTCATTGTACCATGCCAACAACAACAACAACTATAAACACATCAATGAAAAGCAAATGTAGTTGTTTATTTTTGGTTTTTGTAATTTCATTTGTCTCTTAAATGTAAAAAATTACCTTCCGTCGTGATTGTGCTTTATTGTATTGTGCTCCTTTATGGTAAATTATTCGTGATTTTATATTGCTTAATGTGATTTTTTTTTATTCAAAATTATATTTTGTTAGTTTAACGGTTAAAATTTAATAGAGTTGTATTTACAACTTTTGTTCGCAGTTTGCTTCCTAAACTCTGGCGACACAGCGCCGTTGCTTGGCCCAACCAATAACGCCGTTAACACCTGCCTGCCATCGGCTTCATTATTTTGTGAGAGATTTTCTATTTGACAGTTCGAACGGAACAGCTGTAATTGTTAGACGTAAGATTCGGGTGAAGTAGCCGTGCAAGTGAAAGAAGTGACTGACCAATATCCAAAATTGTAAAAAAGGATACAAGAAGTTTTTAAATAACAACTTGAATTATTATTAAGTTTCCTATTGGACTTTGTAAATACAATTCGCCTGAAAACTGACACGCTAAAGGAAACAATAAACGGTGATAGAAACGTGCAAAGTCGATTATTGTTGTATACAGAAGACGACAAAGAGTGGAATCTTGAGAAAAGTCCACATAAATTTTCCTGCCAGAAGAAAATATTGTTGTGGTTTCTTTGCGCAACGTGTGTTTACGTTTTTTGACATAAATTGACCGAAAAGCAAACTGCTTAAATGAAAAGTTATTAAACCCCAATGTGAGGGAATGCTTTAAATTATATAATAATTCAATTGGCAACCGAATCACATTAACAAATTTTTGATTTTTAGTTTCTCGTTTTGTGTTTTTGGCTATTTTTGATGATTGTTGTGTTGTCCAACAGCCAGACGGCAGCATACGATAGCAACAAAAACAACAACAGCTATAGGAAAAGTGTATGAAACAAGAAAAAAAAAACGAAACAGGAGGGTAACAATAGCAATTGGGTCTAACCTACTCTGAAACACCCCAATAAGACACCGACAACAAAAAGTTACGTGAATTATTTAATAAACAAATCACACACTCGTTCGCTCGCTGGCACTCTACGGGAAAATATCCATATCCAGTGAAAGAAGAAAGAGGCACAAGACAATTTAACAAAATCATTCATTTAATCATCTGGCTTCCAAAACCTCAATGCCACACCAATGCAATAATTTTGATTTTTTTGCCTGTGCTATTAACAAATAAGTGATAATTATAAAAGAAACTTAAGTTTAATTGACGCCCATACGAAAAGGAAAACGTCGAGTGTGTTACGATAAATTAGAAACTCAAAATTGAAATAGAAATTAAGAAACATAAATCTATTTATCAATCACAACATACATACGCATCTACGTACGCCATCATCCTCACCATCCACGGAAAAAGGAAATCGAAAGTACAATTTTTTCACATCTTTAACCAACGATATTTGGAGAGATTTGAATTAGGTAAGTGATATGATATGAAATTATTAGCTTTTTAAGGTTAATAGGATTGGTCATAAGTGGTGCCTATTATAAATAGTTTCTACATGAATACTGGTCGATTTATCGCTTTCAAACTTTCCAAAAATAAAACAAAAAAAAAAAAAAAAAACTATGTAGGTCAACTTTGAGGTCACGTACATGTGGAAAACATAGTAAAGATTTATTAAAAACAAAAAGGTTATTGAAAAAATACAAATTAGAAAAGGTCTCGAAGGCAGTTTATTTTGTTTGATTTGTTAGTGCAAATCTTTAATTGAGAGACAGATGTAAAGGGATGTCATAAAATGTTAGCTTTCAATACCAAAAGTTCTGCAAATCCAATACGAGTAGAATTTCATCAATCTTCTTCATTTCGTTCAAAAGTTAGGGTGATTTCCACAGACGAGTAAACGGACGGACCTCGCAAAATCGACATAGAATTTTATGCTGATCGGAATATATTTATTTGTACGATCTAAAATTTATATTACAGGGGGAATTATAAACTTAATATAGCCTCCATACTATGATGTAGTTTCTAAAAAATGGGATATTTCGGAACACTTCTTCTGGAAACCAATACACAAAGGGTAAACCATTTCATCAACGTTGATATAAGTGTCCGATTTGCAAATCGCAATATTTATAATAGTATCAGATGAAGTGCAAAAATGGAAAGTTTCGGCTAAACCCTTTTTGGTACCTCTTACATTAAAGTTCGACATTTTTTAAAAGAAATATACCCATATCTTATATAAAGTGAAAAAAAAATGGTCGATATATTTCAAATCTGGTACATCGTAATATTTAATTCAGATTCAGATCAGGTGTGAAAATGGACTATATTGGTACTCTATTCCATTTTTAACTCCCTCATTTAAGATAAACATTTTGAAGAATCATAGCGCAAAATATATATTTAGATAATCGAACATAGGCTGAGAGTGTACATCATCTGTCGGCCAAATCGACTGAAACGTTCTAAACTGTCTCTGTCTGTTTGGTTTTTTTTTCTTTGGTTTCAACACCGACATTATGTTCTGTTCGTATTGCACTTACTATTTTTATACCCTACAACACTATGTGTTTGGGTATTATTAAGGGGGCTGCTAAGATATTGTAGTGTTGTAGGGTATCACATGGTCGGCCCGCACGACTATAGCCTTTGCTTACTTGTTTAACTATAAAATTAATATATTTTCCTTAATATCTCATAATACTTATTATCGATATAAAGCAATACTGATCGGCTATAATTTCTACTACAATTGTTTTTTTTTTTAAATATAATGAAAACCTTGAACTCTCTGCCATGATTCATACCTGATTGGTGTTTTTCATATACCAACCCAGAGATTATATAGTGAAGCCTTTATACAGATAACTTGATTGTTAGAAAATTTATTAATGAGTCGGCAAACGTGCCAATTTATAAGCAATCTAATTATTTAATTTTTGAAATAGATCTAGAAAGTTCGTAATATAATAGTTTGTATCATATAATTAAGTAGGAGGTTAGGTTTTGGATTAAATAATGCGCAACTTTTGTTTGAGACCGTAAGATCCATCAGTGTATCTTATACCTTCTGACAACTAATATAAAAAAGAAGAACGTCAGATGAGATGATACATTTATTTTTTAAAAATTGGGTAGGGTATTAAATGCTCTGCCCGTTCGAACTTAACTCGAGTTTACTGGTTTGTGGTATGCACGAATGTTTTAACGAAGTTATACTGTTTTTAGTAATATAATTTGAGCTACATGATAAAAATTCTCGAGTAAGTTATTTTCAATATTACTTAATACGTTTAAGTGTATAATTGATAACCGATACTATCTGGTTTTTACTGTTGGACATACTGAGGTGTTAGACATATTTGTTATACTTTATGCTGGGACATTGTATTATGTATAAAGTGGGCGAATAATGGCAGTAAAGTTATGAGAATTAATTTAGCTCAATTAACAATTAACAATTTGGCAACGATAAAATAGAATATCATCCCATAATTTATTCCACGAGAAGATGTTATATTTAACAACCGAATTCTCTTTGGATGTTTTTTTATTAGAATACTGTCTATTTTTGGAAAACATTTTTTGAATATATCATATTTGGAATAACAAAGTAGATAATGTGCTTTACACAAAGATATTGACCCCTGCATTTATTGATGGACGAATAACTTGGCTCTAGTCGGAAGGGAGTCTCGGTCAGAATTTATATGGGGTTAAATTTGTAATTTTTTGAATGTTCCCTGTTAGGTACGAGACACTTCTTTCTGAAAAGAACGCTAATACATTCATAAGGGACTTTTAAGCTTGGTGATGATACCGGTGATGATGAAAATGTTGTTAGAAAATCGTTGATATTTTTAAGGAACTCCTATCCCCTGATCCAAAGTTTGAAATATTTTTCTGGCATCCTATGATCAAAACTGTTTATTTTTAGAAAAAAAGCTTAAGCAAATCCTTACCAAAAAAGAACATGATTTTTAAGTGGCTCCATGGCAAATATAGAGGCTTTTTAAGAACTCTTCAAAGTGCTGCTGACCAAACGAAAATATTTAAGGAGCTTCTGGTTTTTAGCATTCCTGGCAAAAATATTGGATTTTCCCTAAAACTTGCTGATAAAAAATCACGAATGGTTCACAATTCCATTTTTTGGGCCTGGCTTGAAAAAAGTCAGAATTTTTCTGGAAACCTGACTTCAAGAATCGCCTGACCAAACATCTTGCATTAAAAACTAAGTTTAAACCAAAAAGCGTGGATATTCCAAGGAACTAAAAATCATAAATTTGTTAAAAACAAATGTTTAAAGAAACCTCTGACAAAAAATAGTTCGTGAATAAAAAAAATTCAATTGTTTCAAGGACCTACCTTTCTACGAAAGGTGTTGATTTTTTTTAGAATTTTTTTCAGCACTCCCTGACCAAAAATCTTGTACTTTTTAAGAAACTTATTTAAAGGACCTGCTGCACATTAGATTTCCTGGGGAAAATCGTGTACGTGGATTTGGAAAAAAATTTTGGTTTTTAAGATTTTTTAATAGCTACCCAGTCAAAAATTGAGATTTTTGATGACCTCAACATGGAAAAATTTCATTATTATGTGGATTTTAGATATTATTTCTAAATGACTTCCTGACAAAAACTGGTATGCCCATTCCGGAACTTTCTGATTAAAAATATTTCTTTCAAAGGACTCTCTGTCAACAAAATTCTTAAAATTTATTAGAATACACCCTACTTTTTTACGTTTTAGTCCCATATCGAAAATATATACGTATATCGGAAAACACATGACCCTATGTTGAGGTTCTCTATGCCGTATACTATAACCATATTTTAAAGACTGCAACTTTCTGACTGTTTTTTTTTTTATCTATACAAGTTATTTGGCTCCCCATGGGAAATGCGTAAAATCCATGGTTACAATTGGCTCACCATATACAGGTTATATATGGTCAAATAACATTGATTATTTTGAGAATGAATTATATAAAACTTAGCAAGTTTAAGTCGCTTCAGATTTAGATATAACATCTATCACAAAGATTTAGTCGCCCCTTACGACCAGAAACCTTTCCTCACCGTTTACTCCACTCTATTTCGTTATTGTTGTTTTGCCTTTAAAATATGTACATATACTGTGTATTTAACAATAATACCTTGTCACAATTTCTGTTTTAGCAACCAACATCTCTGTGGATAGATTATAATGACTTTGCCACCACATGTCCCATGACCAGTTGTAATATCATTTTATTGTTCATTTGGTGGCTCTCGACTCTTCTTTGCATTGTCGTCTGACATTATTGTGAAGCTGGGCTTTTGTTTCACTTTATTTATGATGGCATTTAGTGAGGCTATGTCATACCAGCCAACAGCAGCTACTATGTTTCGCAAACGAAAAAAATATATATTAAGGAAAGGGCTGTGATGTGTTCTTTATGCACTTGGGACTATTTTACTCATAACAGGGCGGCAGTATCATGAAAAGAGTGGGCCATCATGACAGTGGTTTCAAGTGATTTTAAAAAAAATATGAAAAAATCATTTTAATTTTCTTTTTAAAATGTTGGGTAGATCAAATTAAAAATTGAAAGGACCTAAGGTAGGGGACTAAATAGCACCAGGTTTATTATTCAATGCCTTGGGAATATTTATAACCTGTACCTGTAATATTTTGAAGTGTTTCCATAGAGAATAACATTTATGGATAAAAACGGTCAGAAAGTTGCAATCGACCAGATATATTAATTTATGTATCGACATATCAGGTTATACAAAGGGAGGGGCCTTCGAAATGGCCACTCAATTGTTTACAATTTACGGGTATGGAGTCCTTGACAATTTTTTTAACTCGTAAGTTATTGCTATTTTTAACTTGTTAAACCAGATAATTTATAGACAAAAAGTGATTGGGTAATTTAAAAGATTTTTTTTAATTCCTGATTTTTTTGCCACATCTAAGTCCTGGAAAAATATTCTTAAAACATTCACTCTTAAAAACTCGATTTTTTGGCAAGAAAATCTTGAAATCAGGAGCTGCTTAAAACAATTTTTTTAAAAAAAAATCAGAATTTTTCTTATTCCTAATTTTGATCAGGAGATCGTTAAATTTTTTATTAAAAATACAAGATCCAAATTAATTGAATGTTTTTTTTTTAAATCTCGGGTTGTTGTTCCTTAACAATATTACAAAAAAGTAGATTTTTGTTTAGGGATGTCGATTTTGTTTAGGGATGTGGATTTTTAAGGAGCACAAGTTTTTAGCTCCTTAAAATTTTCCTTAAAAATCCACATTTTTGGTCAGGAGGTCCTCAATTTTTTTTCTTAAAAATCTACGTTTTTTGGCCAGGTGATCTAATTAAAAAAGATGTTGGAACTAATTTTCTTAAGAACATAGATTTTGTTTCGTAGGTCCTTGAAGTAATTTCCCGAAAAAAAAAACACACGATTTTTGGCCGGGAACCCAT